AACTCCGAACTCGTTCATCAAGAAACAAACATTGCGAAACCCCGTCGCAACGTCCACCGAAATAAGTACTTATATACCTCGACACCGTGGGGAAAGGGGAACGCGACGCGCGTGTCCATGGCGTTGCCCGAGTTCCTGAGGAACAGGAAGTCCACTAGCTTTGATTTCGAAGCCGCAGCACGTTACTGCCAATTATTCAACGTATACATTGTCCCATTGTGAATCAGTCGAGAGATGGTGGTCGATTACTGCATCCGAAGTGGAGCCGTTATGTCAATTTGCATAATGCATCGATTAAATAAACGGGTTGCGGTGCCGTACGATGTCGTAGAGCACGGAAACCGAAGCTATGCCCGGCCCGCAAAACAACTATTGACAGCCGAGTTCTCCACACTGTCCACGTATACCGTGCACCGACCTCGTCGAACACGTTGAAATTAACGCGCCCTCCTCCACCTCCACTCCCCCCCCCCCCCTTCCCCCCATCGTCTTCTTTTTCCATTCCTTCGAACCGATTTCTATGTACCTCTGTTTCACGTGAGCGCAGATACAGACGTCATACATTAAACGAAGGATCACTTGAAACTTTCAGTATTTTCGATATAAAGTTAATGATTGAAAATTGAACAGATCGAAATCGACGAAATCTCTGCAACTACCAAGAATCGTCCACGTGAACTGAAAGATGATACATTTCAATTCTCTACGACGTCGTGCGACTCGAAAATTGAATGCCTTTCTATCCACAGCTGTATTTTATCGATGCATCATTGCAAAAACGCTAAATGAATGATTTATAATCGCTATTAGTTATCAAACTTTGAGTAGAAGTTAAGAGTTAGCTTCAGCAGAAGTTAACAGTTAACCAGAATTTCGTGTAAGAGTTATTTATTCACACAATTAGTTATTTACTCACGCAATTTTGTTTTTTTTTTTTTTTTTTTTTTTACAGGCGTACGCAACAATTGAAAATCGCGTGTAGAAAATCAGAAACATGCTATCAAGCTGAAAAGACGATCGCTAAAAATCGTCCACCTATAAGGTTTCCTTGAAAAACGTGTATTGAAGACTACGCTATGTAAAAGATATAAAAATACATGAAAAGATTCTATATCATAAACGCGCATAATAAATAAAAAGGATGCAACATCAAAAAATTTCTAACAAATAATTATTTTATCATGTTATTATTGATTACAAGATTTATTATGCAACAGTCCAATTTTAACGAAACACTCGAAGAATTTTCCTCGCGTACATGCACGCACTACAAGAACACGAATCTTTAATTCCTCGATACGCGCATTTTATTACAGGTTGGAATCCGCGATCTCTAGTTTCTACTCCTGTTCGACGTTGTCAGTCAGCGTGCACGCGCGGCTAGCCTCATCACGGGCCATAAATGCTTCATAACAATTATGAGCCTGCCGACAGCGTCATTACGGATGACTGACACCGCGGCCAGTTGTCTTTCGGCATTAATTGGAAGCGTAATTGCAACGATCGCGCGCCGTTTCCCCGCGTAACGTTTTGACGGATCGCGTTGAACTCTCGTCGCGATCAATGAGAATTTTCGGTAAGGGGTTGACAACCCTTGACGCGATTATTCGCCGGGCCAAGTTGCATTCGGCGATCGATGAATTTTAATTGGAAATCTTCCGTCGGGGGTTTATTATCGGTGGCGACGATGAATATTGGATGGTCGGATAGTCGGAAATTCCAAGGAGCAAGTTTCTTTCAATTTTAGAAGAGGTGCATTAATTGTATTTATGATGTAAGTTTCATATCGACTGGTTTCTATTTCACGGGTATCTGTTCCGATTCGTTTTCAGAATACAGAGTCAGAGTACAACTTAACAATTGTACTAGATTAAAACAGGAAAAAGAAAAGAATGTAAAAGAAGTGTAGAAATGTATGAAATGCAAAGATGTATAAACTATGAAATAGAATGTTTATTGTAACAGTTAGATACACGAAGGAAATTTCTATTCAGGTTCTATTCACAAAAATACAAAATACAAAATGCCAAAGAAATTTTTAGAGTATTTTATACATTACATTAATAAGTTCATGATTTAAATGAAATAATTCATCGTAAATATCTTAAAATATAACTATGTAACTTCCGATATATTTCAGTGTTAGAAAGTTTCTCGATCAGTTATCGTAAAATAACAATTTATGACTCAAAGTAGGAAAGATTTAATCAGGGCAGAGAAACTTTGCGAAGTTGCGGCTGAAAAATATTCGAACCACGCGTATTCTTCCCGTCGTATATTCGAAAAATAGTGGAAAAACTACAAGAAATTGTAAGTTCCATTAAATCTTGTTCGTTTGTAAATCGCGAGACAATGAAATTATTAACATTACGATAGTGAGTCATGATTCTCAAGTAAATTTTTAATATATATATGTGTGATCTTAGGCACAGCTATTAATAAGATATTAATTTATATAAATCCATGCCGTTATGAATCAATAAAGAAATGAAACCTAAACAAAGACTTGTATCTTCATCCACATTTTATCTACTGTATTATATTTTACTAGAAATTACATGGAATTTCACGTTCACAATAAATCACGTTAAATTTTGTATACGATCTAAGGAACAACTATTAAAGAATTGTCATCAATTTATTAAAGAAACGAAACCAACAAAATAATAATTTCTTTCGTCTACTAAATATTACAGTGTTTGCTACATTTTGTGTACACTCTACACATTCTTTCACCTTTAATTTAATTTTTCATAAATCTAAATATTAAATATCTACAATGTACCAATTACAAATTAATTTAAACTTCATCGTGCTCTCTATCAGAGCCATGTTCACAGACAATGGAGATATTAATTTATATGACATATACTATCAAGATTAATAGAGCATCCTTGCTGTCTGTGACGATCGAACATCAAAGACGAAGATGAATTAATTCGTACTGCGTACAATCGTAATCCGACGAATGATCGGATTGTATTTCGTCATTGACACATTCAAAGAATATGAAACATTTTTATGGATTACGTAGGATTTATTAAAGAACTAATATCACTAAATATTCGTGAGACATAATATAATAACTCCAACACAATGAATGTCCAGCAGATTGCACTCGAAAGTGAGAAACGGTCCCATTGAGAAATTTTTCCAAACCGGTGAATAGAACGCGGAACTACACATCCCTCGATTTAACACATTTAGACTTCCCTCAAGAGAAAAATATTGAAAACATTAAAAAATATTGTCCATCGAACGTCAATCACACTGCATGAAATAACAACGAAAGATTATGGAGTCGATGAAATAAAAATAAATCCTTGGATAAGACATACAACAGTACAGTAGAATTTTTTTCAGTATGAAATGAATTTTACGAATTTTACGAACGCAGATTTAGTGATTAAAAATTCTATTCAACAATATTTATCAGTCTGTTTAACCCTCCATCTAGATTACGAAAATAATCTACTAACGACAATTAATTAAAGACTTTGATTGCAATAATTTTGCAAAGACGAGCATAATGCAGCACTAAATACGCTGAAACATACTACGAAGAATAAAAACAGAAAATAAGAAAGATATAGAAATATTCAGTTTCTTAGATTAAATAATTTTTTAACTAGTTTCCACTTTTTAAATTATTCTCTTGATAATATAAAATTGCACAAGAGTCCGTAGTCTTGTCATAATAAATCATTGCTCGGCCCTTAATGGGTTGATGAAACATTAAGAGAGATGAAGGGAAGACAAATCTTTCAAAGCTATAGGAAGCACTCCAAAGGAAAACAATTTATTCCTTCAATGTCTAAGAAACGAGTGAACGATGATGTTGAACATTGTGGAAAAAAGGTTATTCACTTCGTGAATACAATTCATATATTACTCCTTTCGTAACTCATAAACGCTTTTATTTCATAAAAGTTAAAAATATTTTCATTCGAAACACATAATGAAAACTCGTTGTAATTCAACAGCACGTATTATTGGAGAGTCTAAATATCTTTAAGTTATTTCATTATATATTTTAATTACATTTTCTCTGGCTACTATCGAGGTTCACTATATTATGTATAAAATTGGAATATAAAGTTTCAATATCACAAACTGAATTAGAAAACTAGAAAATTCTAACGAATCGTTAAATTATTCGCACTCAGAATCGACAAGATACTAAAAATCGGTTGAAATCTACTTCCAAAATTGCTTACAGCTTCGTGAAAATGTCATACCATAGTATGTAGAGTAAATAATAATTAATTTCTGTTCAATTTCTCAAGTTTTTGAAACGTCTAAAAAATTAATATGCCTAAAAGTGGAAAATTATCGATCGAAACTCCTAACTGATAAGTTTTACGTCGCAATAAAGTGCATCACAATTTTAAAGAAAGTAAAACAAAAATTACAAAATAAAAGGCAAAACTGTTATTATATGTTCAAAAAGTAATTTCGTATCTTTTTCGTTTTCCCCGAACGACTATAATTAAACGTATACGGCCACAGTCCGACAAAGTCTAGACGAAATAAAAACAGCTAAAAGATCAAAAAGAACTAAATTGAGTTCGACATTCTAAAGTCAGAAAGACATCGCGTTACAAAAGGAAAATCTAAAAATCTAAATGACGTGAAACAGAAATCTCAAAGCTAAAAAACAAAACAATTATCTGACGATTATCGAAAGAAATAAAAAAAAAAAAATCTATCTTCCAAACATTACCTTCGCATCTTTCTCATTTTCGCCTATTATAAATAATGATATGCGACCACAACGATCTAACAGCGATCTGATGAAACGTAAAAGCAAAAGGATCAACGATATCAACGAAATTTCAAAGTTCGTCGTCCTCGCCATAGTCTAGAAGTCGAAATAAAATAACCGGTCGATAATACTCGCGGTCCTTCCACTTCTAATCGCAAACAGAATTATCGTCGCGTCTTAATTGAACGTTCCTGAGCGAGAGCAGGCTGGCAAATCAGAAGTTTCAATCACTTACTCGGCTCGTCGACGTCGCCAAGGAAAACTTCCGCCGCAACAAACCAAGCCATCGCGCTCATCACCAGAAACATCCCCTTCATCCTGGGACCGGGTGTAACTAAACGGACGAGTCCCGGCGTGTCCCCCTTGTTCCCCGCTGCCGGTATCCAGCAGCCTTAACTCCCAGAATAGCAAGTTGCCAGATATAGGCGATAAGTTTCAATGAATCTAGTTCTCCGATGGGTTAGAACTTCGCTTCCGAACCGATTCCCACCGTCTTCTGGGATTCCTGCACGACTAACCGTCGTGGCACGCCGTCGCGAGAACTTCACACAGCACACTCGTTTCCCTTGCAAACCTCACACAGCGATCTCTCTCAGCTCGTCAACCAATTTTTACCGAATTTTTACCGAACTCTGGGTACTATACTCGAGGTGCATGTACAATTATTTAACACCAAGTTAACCAAGTTATTAACTAAACTCGGCGCACGTTGCACGTTGCGAACTGGCCGGCGATCGATTTAACTTTCGAGAACGAATGGGGAAAACTGTCGATCAACGTTCGAGTTGCCGTGACCGTCAACGATGTCCGACGCACGCACACACATACACATACACGTAGAATAATGCAACACACGCGGCGATACACGGTGCACGACGAGCGAACGCATCGAACGGTGGTTCATTCACGAAACGACCGAACGAGAATGCGGCTCCAGCCGAGGGTGTTCGTCTTTTTTTAAAGTCGTACGGTCATCCCCCTCGGTGCAACCGCCGCTCGCTGCACGTCGTCCTCCTCCTCCTCCTCCTCCTCTTCCTCCTCCTCCTCCTCCTTCTCCTTCTCCTCCTCTGTAAAGCGTCTTGGTCGTTATTAATGGAGCTACTCGATCGGTTAATCGTACGCTCGGACCACGGTCCATTAACGCCCGCTTCATACGCGGTTACACATCACACGGCTTGCCGTCATCGTTCACCGATAATGACGTAACGCTGCCCTTTTTCGCCCGAGTGCGAGTTGCTCGAGTGGCGCGTACGACGCCAAGTTCCAAGCGACGGAAATAGACGGCCCCGACGATGCTGACGGTAACAGAGAACCGGCGCGGTGTCATTAGGGTCCATCGGATGTTATCGCGTCGAAGGGTGCACGCTCTGTCGTCAGCGTACGAGCTTCATGGCTCACCATGGTGTATCAGAATCGTCCCACGTCCGGCGAGAGCGGCGATTCCACCAGCTTCTCGATCACCAGTACGAACACCAGTAAATGCCAGTAAGATTAATATTATCCTCTCTTTTCCAGCGAACGGTTACAATCTCATTTTCATCTTCGATGTAGTTTCACGAGCACCAGTGTGGAAAGTGCTCCTGGCCCCGTTGAGAATAGGGACGTTTAAGGTCGCTTGCTCGGAATCGATGGATTCTTATTCATTCTACTCGGCGAGGTCCACTAGGAAGAACGAGGACGAACGCTTTGATTATATTCGTTTCAGCAGACCTAATTTCCATCCGTTTCACCGTCCCGGTTATCTTTTTCGAAGAGCAAACCCTTGGCGTGCACAAAATGCGAGATGTTACACCAACGCGATGGATTACGAAATTCACGGGGCAGTGATGGTTCTTTTTTTTTTTTTTTTTTTTTTTTTTTTTTTTCTATTCCAGTTGTGTGTCGTTTTACTCGCGAATACAAAGAAAAGTGTAGGTATCGATAGCAAAAGGTCGGCAGTAGCAAAAGTACATAGAATAGAATATCAACGAAATTCAGTGGAAAAAGTCGCGTAATCTCTCCACGTAGTTGAAGGCGCGCTCACTGCTGCGTTGCGGCAGGCCTACTGACAGGGGCAACCGAGCTTTCGGTTTGGCTCGGTACGATTCGTGCGATTTCGCCACCCCTCGGCGCCAGCTTAAACCATTCTCCGACCACTTTTCATACCCCCTCCTGCCGCGCCGTGATCACTACAGGCTATTCCCCTTGTTCAACCCCCCCGGTGAACAGACAAATGTTAGAAAACGGTGCGAGAAGCTCGAAGGTCGTATTTACTATTCATTCGTTATCCGACGGATTAGCGGGTAACGTTTAAAACCGATTACCGGTTATTTAGACACTACGCCACGCGTGTGCCTGTTATGATCGCGTTGTTGAATTGACGTGGATAAAGAATGTTAGGATCGGGTAAATGGGCCAGTGCCAATGACACTCGGTTCGATTAGCTGATCCGAATCGCAATGCGCAGGCAGGCCGTGCTGTTCGATCTCTTCCATAAGTCATCGAACGTTCGTTAATCCGTTCGTTTGCAAATTGTTTAAACCTTTACATTCCCGAGATTTTTTTTCAATACGACTGACTAACAGCAGCAATTTTATACGCGGGAGCTTTTTTGAAATTAAAAGTCATATTTTTATATATAAAAGAGAAAAGACTGTAAATGAGCGTGGATTTTACTTGTATTTGCGGTTTCATGCGTGCACAGTGGAATTCTATTTTTTTTTTTTTTCATTCTTTATTTGCGATAAATAGTATTTCGTTGTACATGAATTTAATTACGAATAACTGTTTGCACAATGTCGATATTGTTAAAATAACATCAGCGGAACGTAATTCTTTTACTTACTGTGTCATACTTTTACTTACTACTGCCATACTTCTCAAACTTGCGCGGACATGAAAGGATTTACGAAGTAAAGAATACAAAATCTTTGGATACGAGATTCTACTATACGTGAATTTGTATTGGAATCTTTAATAAAACTTGAGAACTATTCAATTATGTGAATTACTAGATATAATATGTAAATATTGCTAAATATAAAATAACATATATCTAGCATTAATTGTTATACGCACACACACATATTTAATCTATCTATATTTATCATTCATTACCATCACTTGAAATTTTCAAACAATGACAACTTCTACGTTACCATTTTTCAAAATGAATTTGAAAAATTCATTCAATCTGGTTAGTACATGTAACAGATGTACAAGTTAATTTATGTTGCATTGAAGGTAATAAAAAAAGTTAGAACAGAAACTCTTCTTTTATCCAATGCTGTATCTCTCATTAAACTCATTAGTCAGGAATGCAAATTTAATGTACTGTTATCTCATTTATTTATCGGAAAGCGAAAGAAGATAAAGATTCTGAAAGAAACAATTTTACTTCACGCAAAAATACGATAAATTTACTTATTACTTTTACCAACTGTTTCGTCTACAATCGAAAAATTTATTATTATTATATTATAAAAAAAAAACTGTGTATTAAACTTTCGAGATTTCATTCAAATAATCATCTATAATAAAAGAAACAAGTGTAGTGAAGGAACATTCTAAAAAAAAAATAGATATATATATAATATATATATAAATAGCAGAACATTTAACACAAATATATACTTCATAAAAAAATTAATACGGAGCATAAATAATAATTGCTTTAAATTGTTTTACATATAATTGCTTTAAATTGTTTTACATATAATTGGTGGCAAAATAATTGCTTTATATATAATTAGTGGCAAAATTGAAGCTTATTAAAACATTAAACATTAAAGCTTACTAATATAGTGGATAATTAACTTAACTAAATATCAAATGATGAAATAACTTTATCACCTTCTATATTGCAAATATGTATTTGCAATAAATTTATTTCTATGTATTTCTATATATATTTCAAAATAGTAATATAAGACAAAACACATATATTCAGAAAATCTTTCTATAAGTATTGCAATACTTTTGTGAGCCTCTATACATAAATTTGAAATAAAAGTTCAGTTGTTTGATAAATATAATAACAGAAAATAACAACCTGATTTATTATAATAATTATTGAATTATTATGAAATATTTAACTAATTGTTTAAACTTTAAATTGAAATAAGTATTTGAAAATAAGTAAAACAAGTAATTGAATTAGTTGGTCGACATACGAGCGAAAATGTATTACTCGGAAACTTCGTTATCTTCGCGTATTATATTGAAAATAATAATAATAATAAGCAATTACTTGTAACAACATAATTTTTGAGTTGTGAAATACCTGATAACATTGTACAGACTTATCTAAAGCTCCCGATCAAATGTTTTACAATCTGAACAGTTCCGTGCAACAAGAATGGATAAATACGACATAATATAGAGTAATTTTCATGCTCATGTATCACTGTTAGTCAAATTATTACTCTGAATTTATTACTGTAACATGTACGTACATTACACGTACACATAACATAAATCAATTGTAATACGAGAAAAGTATGATTAAATATTTGATTATTTTGCGAAAAATGTGAATATGCATCAATATAAAAGTTATCTGCAGAGAATTTAACAAAATAAATTTTTTTTTTAAATGAATAATTGGCTACGTGTAATGCTAAATGCAATTTCTGCGATACAGTCGTAAATCAAACAAAATAACAAAAATTCAGGATGAACGATATTAAATATAATTATATTTTTAATGTTAAAATTTCTTTGATTTCTGATATCAAATACAAAAATATATATTTCTAATTTTTTACAGGGACTAAACAATAATACATTACATTACGTATAATAATACTTAAGACGTGAATACTATACTGTGCTATATTACGTATATTGTCTAAATGTTTCGAAAATGTAACGTAATGCATGTCATATGTATCTTATGCATTTTCATACATTTGAATGCACAAAAATCCGTATACCAATTGTTTAGTGATCCAACAGTGATACAACAGCGACGCAACATACAAGAAGTCGTATTTTATCATTATCATCAACAACAACACTTCATATACGTGTAAATATTGTTACCTACACCTCCGCAGAAAATTTCACAAGAACATATTTGAAGAAAGGTTCGTCCAACGATTCAAAACCGCAATTATATCTACACTCCTACGTGCGTAAATAAACATCAATGATAAAACACCACGCGAGGGTCATTTACTAATTACCGATCCATTAATCCGCGATCGATTTAATTCACAGATCAGATACATTGATGTTAAATGTAGGGAACGTCCTCGTTCGGCTTCCGTGCCCTCTCATTACGCGACGCGAGTCGGATATCCGGAAATGGCTACCCTACCACCCTCCAACGGCAGTGCGACGAACTTAAACAGCCGCTTGCCGCGCTCTGCCGATTTTTACGAAACTTTCATCACCCTTTGCAACGCAAACACACGCTCGCGAAAGCCATTAAAGCGCGGTAGAAAGGACAAAAATGGATTCGTATGTCCCGAAATGTTGCAATATTTCTACATGGAAAGTCGAGCCCGGGCCGTTATCCAAACAACCGGTAGCTTTTCCCCTTCGCTCTCGCGGAGAGAAAAAAACTTTCCCGCCTGCAATTGAAAACCGTCCCCATTTGAATGTCGAACTTTCGAATGAACATTTTCATAAATATGTATCGCGGGCTGCTGCTTTCTCGGCGTACGTAAACCGTTCTTTTTTTCTCTTCTTTTTTTCTGCTATCTACCTATCTATTCCCTTTTTTTAACTACCTATCTTTTCTTTCTTTTTTTTTTTTTCTTCCTGGGATATATATCGCATCGAACGCACAATTATTGCCGACAATTTGATACCAATGATGTTTCGTGTATTGACATGTGAGTTTCGATTCATATTTATCACGGAAAGACTTATGCTTTAGAGCAAAGATTGTACATCAATGGTTCTTGAAGAATTCTTCAAGTATTACTACATCTTTGATGCGAAGACTGTTTTTCTCTATTTAGATTCACGTTGTGACATTAATTTTATTATGCTTTGCAGTTATTGTACTATGTGAATTAATCGCTCCTTTAGTTGCTTGGCTGCTTGATTAAATCTTTCATTATTGGGAATTCCAACATATGGAATGGATTCATGGATCCACATAAATTTCATTTCTTTTCATTTTAGAACAATTGAATGATCTCCTCAAATTTGAAGTTATTTTACATTCTTCTTTTATTTCTTCTTTTTTTCTTCTTTTTTTCCCCCCCTCTTCTTTGTCATCGCGAGGATAAAATGAACAGCACGCAATTTTGATAAACTGTTAAAGCTTGATTATTGGATTACGCAAACCGTACATATCATTCCTCGTTCATCTCGATCCGGGGAATCGATTCGTGAAAATGCACGCCGGAATAAACCGCTTTACACCCATGTTACACCGTAAAAAATTGTATTTTACATTAACGTTTGTTAGGAGCTTTGTAATATCAACTGCGTTACACTATATATTCGTACGTATATTTTTTGAAATAATGTATATATTTTGTATTTGTTACCGTGCAAAGCAGTTTTCAATTTTTTAATAGCTTAGCTCAATTTTTTGATAACTATAAAACGCGGTCCAGCTTCTTTCTATATTTAGAATCAGTAGCAATAATTTATAAATATATTGCAATTATTTATATATATATTGCAATCAGATATTTAAGATTTGTCTGTACAACTTTATCAATGTTAAAATCTGACATTCAAAAGATATTCGTGAATAGACTGAAGAGTTTTATACATATTCATAGTTCTCTAAAGATAGAACTCAGGCCAAGACTTGTTTTACTTATTAAATATTATAGCGAGAACATTGCTTTGGATATTTCTAGTGCATACTGCACATTTTTGCATTTATTACGTTTACACATTTTCGCACATAATGTACGCTCTGTGCATTTTTACATTTCTTGCATTTCTGCATTTTTGCAATTACATATTTTCGCATACAATGTCCGCTCTGTGCATTTTTGCATTTACAGAAAAAAGATACTACATTTATTTACAAAATTCGATATTCATAAACGAAGTGTGAATCTTTATGCAAATTCAGTTTCATAAAAATATTTTTTTAAAAATTGCAACCTGAGCCAAAATTTGTTTCTTCTATTAAATATTACAACTTTATTTTGGTTGCTTTATATTATTATGAAATATAATTTTATGTACCACGTTATTTTCATCTTTAAATTCTGTAAAAATGTAAAAATACGTAAAAATCCACGTGTCTATTTATTAACTAGTAATGATTAGAAACTCTTTTATCTCTTAGAGATACGAGGACGTGCTACTTAAAAAGCTTAAAAAGTAGTTATCAATCACGAAGTAATCCTTATCTGTCAATTATGATCTCTCGAGTCAATTACAAAGATTTTCATTAAATGAAATAGGCAGCTGGCACGTTCATCACAATTACGACGAGGTTACTGAAAGCCCAGAAAAGTCGACGATGATGGTGCGCTCCAGTAAGAAGTTTATTGCTTCTGCAATAAGTTTCTAGGGCGCACCCTAAGAAAGGGGTTAAGTTCAAAATACACACTAGCTACGCGATGTGGGGTACTCGGAATTTTAAGATGTCTTAGCGTGATAATACAACGAATACTAGATTTCTCATGATTCGTTATGATTTCGATAATCGAAGGATTATCGACTTATCGACACATCTACCCATTTTCGAATTAATTTCTACAAAAGTAGATACGCGCACCGTATTTTGTGTGCTTGACCTATTAATAAAAATTTAAAATACGTTCATTTACGTTAACATATCAATTGTACATTTACGTTAACATATTAATATAAAACAACTCTTATAATGAAATCTATTAATTTATATAAGAAGCTCGGCAGGCTTTTGCTAACTGTTAATACAAAAGCTATGAAGGAAAAATTATAATGAGTGATACTTCTTAAAGATTTATTTTTAAAGCCAACAGACTGTCAGCTATACATTGATATTTTCTAACAAGATTTAAAAATTGAAGCTAACATCTTTCCTGTAATGATGCATTTAATATAAAGAATACAAGTAATTGAGTAATGAGACGAGATCGAATTTGAGAAACTGGAAATGTTCCGTTCACGAAGAACAAACGAAGAGAATGAAGAAGGGTAAGAAAGGGAAATGGAAAATAACGAGGAAAATAAAGAACGATATTTCGTTAAACGAGAGAAACATTTTATGGCTCGTTTTAATAAAACAACGACGAAAATAGCCAAAGCGAGTACCACGAATTCTTTAAACAACGCTTTAAGAAAGAGAGAAATGCCGTGACAAGAGCTGCTCGTTCTAACCCCCTTGGCCTCGAATATCATCTCTCTTTTATCTCTGTCACGTCACGTGTTTCTTATGCCAAACTTTGCAAGATATACAAGCCCATGAAACTTTACGTTATCGTAACATTTAAAATATTTGTCGAGTGAAATTTTAACCAAACAGATTCGTTAATTTTATAACACAATATATGCAGGTATACAATAATTTGTATTTCATAAAATATTTTGATGAATACTAATGCTACAAAGTGATTAGATAATATAAGCATATTTTAAATATTATATATTTTGCAATATTATCAGCGCGTCATATTTAATAACAATGTTGATATGAACTGAACTACAGCGGATTATATGAACTACAGCGGATTATGCCAGGATAAATAATTTACAATTATTATTTATATTATCGGCATTATTAAGTATTTTATATTACTAGGTTTTTAATATTAAAATTTGTAATTAGCTTGTTACGCAAATAAGAATCCACAATCTATTGATGAATTGTAAAAGAATTAATATCTTCTAGATATTATATTGGTACCTAGACAATTTTATATTGTTTTCATTTTAATTAGCTCCTAATGACGTTATTTCTTTTTTTTTGAGACTTAAGAATCATTTTTATCTCTATACAGTTTAAGCTTATCCCATTGCACAAGATCTTTTTTACTATCTTTACAAGCCCAACTTTCGTTTATACTTGTATCCATATGTATCCATATTATACTTGTATCCATATGTATGTATTCATATTTACACTTCTATATATATGTCTATATTTCAGCAATAAACTGAAGAAATATAAAACATTTCATTCTGTATAAAAATATTTTTCATCTCAATCCTATACAAATTAAGTAACGAGTTAAAAATTGAAGCCACAAATTGCCTTTGTACGTTGCCTCATTACTAGGCACAATTACTATGCTTTTAGGTATAAATAAAGAAACGAAACCCGAATTTTAATTTCATTATATTTTCACAATTCCTTCGAAAATAACTACGTGATAAATCTACTCACGTATATTGAATAACAAGAGAGTGTACATCCGTGGAGTTCAGTGAAAGCAAACGAATTCAATATTTCAGAAAACGCGAGGAGATCCTCCGGACACAATAATAGATTTTTCACGGCGTTACCGATGCAGTTCCTTGAACCTTCGCTAAAGCAGCTAGGTAGGACATCGGATTTGCTGACACGGAATCCTCGTTCTTGAACTGAACCCCTGGGATCCGAGGCAGATCCGACTCAGGGTAAATATTGGAATCACGATGAATCTCGTAGATCGACCGTATCCTCGTAGCCTGACCCTTTCCTATAACGATTTTTGTTCCTGCAAAACTGTTACGTTTTAGAAGAGATTTACCCCGCCAAAAAATATCCACCCGATTTCCTCGATTTAGGTGTATAACGATAAAAATAACAGTCACGATGTTCCAATGTCGGATATTAATTCCGGACGTCGGATAATCGAAGATCGTTTGTTACATCCATTTACAAACGTTCGCTCGCGATAGCCTTTTTTTTAATTAATATTGGCTTTCAGGTAAAGGGATCTTTTACTTAGTAGTAGGACAATATATATAGCGAAACGAAGTAATTATGAATTTAAACTTTACTGTCCTTGCTTTTTCATCACGTTCTTCGCTTCTTTATTTTCTTGCAATATTTCATTTGCAAAAAGCGTGAATTATAGAAGGAGAGATTGTAAAATTATTAACTATTAAATAGTTAGAAACTATGTACGTTTCAACGATATTTATTGAAATATAGTATCTATTTGGAGTTATATAGACAAGATAACTACCGGACATTATAATAGTATAAATATATTTTCTATTAAATTAGTATAAAGTACATGCTTTCAACTGCTTTGGAAAATTTATAAAAATTTCACGTTACTTTTGGTAAAGAAATCAAAATAGAAATTTAATAAAATTTTACTGAATCATAGGACTCAAGAATTGAAAGAATGACATCATATTTTCAATTTTATATTAAAATCATATCAGCCTTAATTAAAAATTCTATGAATAAAAAATGTTCATTCTTGTTAGTAAATTAATCTGAAATATAAAGAATCAATAAAATTTATCAATGTACCTCTACACTACGAAACTGTTTAAAATTACCAAAAACGTTCAAAAGTCCAAGATGCATGCAACAAATTAAGAATACATTACAATATGTTATTCTCTTTGAGCCTCTAAGTAAGTAAACTTATAATTTTATTATTGATTATAAAACTGTACAATACTTAGTACTGACTAAATATTAAATCGTTAAATCAGTAGCAAGTGAAACATTTTATATAATATCAAGAAAGAAGACAAACAAGCAAACTAGTACCATACCATTGTGCAGATTAAAAATTGAGTAGTTTATTCTGTCAACTTTGTCATCTTCACATATATTCCGTGTGTTGGTTGCAGGAGAAATAGTGCCTTCTTATCCATATCGTATTTTTTAAAAGTTTTATCGCATACTTCGACCTTGAATCTCGATAAAATAGTGATAATTGCTATCTTTGATTGGTTTTTAGCGAATCTTGCACCTGAAAATAGAATTACTCAGAATTATTTATTGTTCTATCTTACAATTAGTAGAGTTATTCAAAATTATATTATATGTATATCTTGCATCTGAAAGCAAGATTATTCTAATCTAAAAAAAATCTACAGAAAATGTCAAACCCTTTATTTTAATTTAATTAATAATTGAAATAATGATTTAATTGAATAATTAAACATACGGCGGTTCGTATTTTAAATACGAACTGTATGAAAATTTTATCTTACCAATACAATTTCTCGGACCGTCGCCAAAAGGTAAAAAGAACATTGGATGTCTGCTTTTCGCGTTGTCACCGGTGAACCTCTCAGGATCGAAAACTTGTGGATTTGGATAAACTGCCGGGTCCATTTGAATCGCGTAAACAGGAATAAAAACTTGTTGACCCTTTGGTATGGTAATTTTCGTTCCTGAGAACGTGTAATCTACTAACGCTGTTCTGGAAAGCCATACTAATACTGGATACTTTCTCAATGTTTCTAAAGGAAAGAAAAGTAAATATATTATTAAATTATTCAGTACATTATTATTATTAAATACATCAACTTATTAACACTATTTTTCAATCAGTAAATACTGCCTTAACTTTTGAAGTCAATAATTTTTTAAAATTTTCTGACATACTTTGTTTTTGTTTTTTTAAATTTGATGTACCAATAACGTAATATGATATTCAATGAAAGAAAAATATAATATAAAAATTTGATTTAAAGTATATGGAAAAAGGAATATAAAATATATATTGAGATAAATTATAGATATTCTAAAATAAATTATAATAAATTGTTACAAAATAAATTGAAAATGTTTCTTGTTTATTCTCTTGATTATAATATTTCTGTTGAAATTAAAATGATTATACCTTGGAAACATGCGTCCAAATACTTCATCTCTTTTATACTATCGTACATAACCACCCCATTAGTCTTTTGCAAGACATTCTTAATTTCTTCTCGAACTTTCTCTTGAATCGATTGATTCACTGCCAACTCGTACAGAAAATGACTGATCGTTAGCGAAGACGTTTCGAAGCCGGCAGCAAAGAAAACGAAAGCCTGGGCCGTCAGAAGGACATCGTCTATTTCTGGGCATATAACATTTATAGTTTAAATATACACGAAGATATCCATTTGTAAGTCCCGAACGCAGAAAATTTACTTTTTATTGAAAATCCCTTTATCTTTTAAAAATTATATTTCTATGAATAAGTAAACCTTGAAAAACAATTTAATCTGGCACTGTAAGATAAAATTATTTTTACTTTACTGCTTTGCAAATTGATAACAAACACTGTATCGAGGTAGAAAAAAAGATAAAAACATTTTTTGTGCACAACAAAAAGATATTACTTCGAAAGATTTGATGGAGTATTTCAATTAATATTTCGCTATCTTAATCATTTTTTAAAATAAAATACACGTGCAATTTTATTATTTATGAAAAACACGTAGCAAATATTAAAGGTAAAGCGTCCAAAATTTTGATGTTCCATACTCTGCTGAATTATTTAAATAGATAAATTTCTAAATTTGTTCCATTTGTACAACAGAAATGTCATCCTATATAACGAAACAAATTAAATCACGAAATTATAAAATATAATTAATAGATCGTAAAATTATAGAATTGTCATGTAAATTAAATTGTAAATTGTAAATTATAAATGAAATCCACGTTTACCTAGAAGGCGGGTTTTGTCCGGATTCTGCTTCAAGTCTATCAAAGAGTCCACGAAGTCGTATCTTCGCACATTGTGCTCAATTCTGTAATCTATACTCTCCTTGGTGATTCTCGTAAAGAAAGCGGCAACATCCTTCTCGACGAAAAAACGACCAAACAGTTTAAACAAAAACGGATACTCCCTCAACCTGTCCCTAATCATCGTCTTCCAGCTCGTCTGAAAGACTTTCCTGCCCATTTTACGGAACTCGCTGTCTTCTGCTGCGAGCGCGTTCATCTCGATGCCGAAAGCGCAAGAACCGATCACGTCCGTGGTAAATTTCGCGGAGATTTCACGACACTCGATCGGCTCGCCCTTCGCGATTATCCTTTCCAGATACCGGCCAAAGTGTTCCGAGCATTCTAGCAACAAGTGAAACATCTCCTTCAACTTTCCGGAGGTGAAGACAGGCGAAAGTCTGGTTCTTAAGGGCCTCCATCTCTCTACTTCTAGCCTGAAGAGATGTTCCGATAATGGCTCGACCTATAAAATATGCGTCGATATATTGGGAAACTTAAGAAACGCTTTTTATCGCTGGGAAGCTAAATTGAAGGAAGATTTTCGGGAAGGCTATTTACTTCCTTTCAACCGTCTTTCACCTACATTTTCTATAAAAATGTATATACCCCGAGAAAGGAAGCACTAAAACGTGCAAATAGGTGAAACCTGGAGAATCGTGTGGCATATATCGGTGAATTTTGTGTGAGAGATCGAGATTATAAACAATAAGTGTATGTATATATTCCACTGATCAAAAATACACTGTCATTGCAATAATCATTATAGTGCTAATGAAATTCAATAAACTCTATGAGTGCTCAAAGAAATCAATAGTCTACAAGTTTAATGACAAGTACATAACAAAGCATTCACCTCTGAATTATGAATATAAATGAAATTGAATTGTATATATTTTGATATATTTATTCAATATATCACAATATGAATTTTTAATAATTATTTTAAACATCTCAAATTATCTGTACGAGACTCTAGTAGATATTAAACGATCAAAAAATTAGGTTACTACAAGGTGCTCGCACATTCTTGGTACTGAATAAAAAACAAAGAGCATTCGAATAATAATTTGTGCATTTAATAAATTTAATTAATTGAAAAACACGTATTGAAAATTATTTTGAAGAAATGTAATGTACAAACTACGCGCAAATCAAGTTCTTCAATTTCAAATAATAATATTTCATATTCCACAAGTCGTTGCATTATCATTCAGATAATGCGTTATCAAACTCTAAATATCGCATCCTTCGATGTAACTTCACAATACAGAAATAGATCACTGCTCAATATTGTATAATAGGTCAGTTTACAAATTATTCATATGTATTTACATGTTTCGAGACATTTGCTTAAAAGTAAAAAAAATTAAATAGTTGCTAAAAACAAATATTGATTATTACTTATTATTACAAAATTATAGTATTATTTAACAACTGTGAAATTATTACAGAGAATATCTCTAAAATTATGGTATAACCATTTAGAAAGTTCTATGTATATAAAAATAAAAATTTTAAAAATTGAAAATATATTCAAAATAAAAATTTTTTCATTTAAAGTTTTCAACAAAATTGAAATTTTTATCAACTATGCTTGAATTTGAATAATTTGATTATTCGATCGACTATTTAATAAAACTTTTTCATAACATCCTTCCGTTTCCAAGAAAATTAAATTTTCAAACGTGAAATTTTCACAACTCTTAACAAAACATATTCAAACGCTATTTCTTTTCTTTTTTAACGAGACTTTTAACGGAAAAATTTTATTTTACTCCCATTTTTCACTCCTTTTTGCAAGCAGAGTAACGTCCTGTCAATTTTCTGTCTGGTTCAGAATTAACCAACTTCAAGTATACTTGATTTTCTCGAGGGCGAAGTATTAAATGAAAAAATGTTATTCTTTCTTCTCAATTTGTTTTACATGCAAAATTTCGCTTTGATCGATTCTACTACGATTAAAAGAACAAGTCTATACAGAAAATTTAATTTAAGAAACCTGAAAATAACGAGAAGTTGGATTAAAGTATTTTTATCAAGAAAAATACTATGAAATTGAAAACACACACACTCTTTCAAAATTATCTTATAAATCCAACAAATATTGTACTCTAAGCACCTAAGGGCGTGTGTCTTTTTAAGCTACACATTTCCTATCCTTGTTAATTATAAATAATTCACTTCTGAAAAGAGTAAGAATTTGTACTTTATTAATACAGAATTTTATGAGTCTCAGCACTTGGATGTTTCTAATTATAAAATGTTTAATAAACAAATCAATATCTTTCCCAAAATTTTCATTACAATATATATTTATGACGAAATCTAAAAGTGTAAATAACAAATTTTAAATTTCACATCATCCTTCTTTTCCATACATAAACTTTTCACATTTTCCAAGTAAACTCACGAACTTTGTATCGAAAACTCACCAGTAATTAAAATGTGAAATATAATACTACATACCTCTCGATAAGGACGCTGCGTTCTTTCAGCAAACTTGGGAAAATCTTTAATAAGGACATCTTTCATCAGATCCGGGTCTCTCAAAACTAATAACGGATTATTTCCTGCATACAAGCCGATCACTGGTTCGTCCTTGTAGTCATAATATACCTTCTCGAAGCAGTCGTGAATACAACTTCTTCCCAGAAATATATCCTTAAAGTTCCCGAAAAACGGGATAGGCCTCGGTCCTTTCACGCCACGTTTCTGCCAAAATTCAAGCTTTGATACAGAATAATAATAAATCAGAAGGAAAACAGCGACGACCAATCCAACCGCCTCTGTTATCGACAAAGACATTTTATTTCAATTATTAATTTCAAATTCCGCGTTCGAAATTCCGCACCAAATGCACAAACTCGAACAAGAAGCGCCTTGCGATGTGTGTAATTATCCAAAACGCGAGTGAAACACGTTGATTTATAGACTCATTTTGCTCCACAGCTTTCTTCTTTCCATCCGAATACGATCTCTGTTACGCTTTTATTGCCGTGACCATAACAATGTTTGTTTGACATTATCACCACGCACTTATCATGCGTATCACCATGACTTGTAGCTTGGCTTGAACTAACGAAATATATCAGACCGTTTTATTTGCTTCTGCGATGCACCCGTTCTAATACGACTAAAGAGAAAAACAATCGTAATTCAATGTATTTTTGGTCTTTTTTTAAATTTCGAAATCCGTAAATATCTTTGATCGGAAGATTTAAGGACTAAAGATAAATACAGATAAGAGATTAAAGATTAAGTATCTCACGATTACCTTTTTAATGGATATGTCTTCGTTCTTCTTCAAAATTCGTTCTTCTTCTTCAAAATATTTAGTTACTATTTCTTATCTCCATTAGACTGCTGATTCCTGCAAATTCATATTTTTAATGTTAATATCATTAATATAATACAGTATTAATAATTGTCATTATTAACGTTGCAATATTAATATAATCAAAATAATGTAACTTTGCTAAAAAAAAAATTATATTACATACTAGAAAGCCATTGCAACTTGAGCGTGTATTATACATTCTATATTATATTTTCTGTACGTTACGATGCTTCAATGAAGACACCAATTGTCATAATATTTTCCAGAGACTTTTGGCGTTGGAGATTCAATTGCTCGACCTGGAAAATCCACAGCCAAAGCATGAGCATTCATTTCCAGTCAGAGTAGCGTCCAGAAACAAGCAATCGCGCCGATATTGAATTCCAAGAATCAAAACAATGTTCCTTGATACGTTTTCTGGTATCTCCGTGTTCGAAAAGATGTATCTTTGGCGGATATCAAAGCGTTTCAGCAACAAGTGTCGGAAATTCTTCGTCTTTTGCGGAAGCTCGACCGTGGAGAGCCGATTCTTATAATGGACACTATTTATATTCAGCGACATCGCGGAAGTTGCTGAAGAAAGATAAACAGAGATAGAAGAGAAAAAACACCGCAGACGGGAAAAATACGCATCTGGGAATGAGGTAAATGCAAAGTCTTCCTTTGACACTTGATAGAACGTTTACTGAAAGTTGGCCTTTGATAGTAGGTTAACGCCATGTCATACCAAGTGTACAGAGACTCGTTTACGATGGAGATTTTAATAATTGGCTTTTGAATAATTTCGTCTTCTGCTTCTCTGGCGACGAAACTCGTGCGTTTGAAAATGCTTCGTTCGAACCGGAACTTGCTGGAAATCTGTTGGAGAGATTAGATTTTCTTCACTCATATTTAATTTTATAGTTTTCAATATATTTTTTGTTGTTCGTATGCTTAGAATTTCTTATTAACCTGTTAACAGACCAAGACTTCTATAAGTATAAGATTAATAATTAATAAAATCTTTATTAAAATAAATCTAATTAACTTAATAAAATTTTTATATATTATTTTTGTAAGACGTAGTATTTCATTTCCATTAAAAATAAATCATATCATGATTACATTTACAAAGAGTGACCAATAAATTCTTTATTAATTATTAATCCTATAATTTATTTTGGTTTGATCAATCTCAATCTCGGTAAATGTAATTATATGATATAATGTATTTTCAATGGAAATGGAATACTATATCTTATAAAAATAATAGATCTTCAAATAAACAAATTATTATGTTCACAGATATTAAAATCTCAGTGACAAGTTAACTCGTCCTTTCCAATTAATAAGTTATTACAAGAACAATTGAATTTGATATTTATTTGACACTTGTATGTACTTGTATATATTAGCTACTTAATGCAATATTAGCAGTCTGTGAAACTTTCCATGACGTTTCTGTAAATTTCGACAATGTTTTTTAAACAGTAGTAAATTTTTGATGGAGTCACCGATGCAGATCTTTGAAGCATCAAAGCCAGAGGAGTTCAAATTTGCTGATGCAGAATCCTCATTCTTGAAATAAACTCTTGAAATCGAGTAGATCAAACTCATTGTCAGAGTAAGTATTGAGATCAGGATGAATTGCCCAGATCGTCGATTACTCATTTAATTTTTGTATGACTGCTTTTAAGGTGAAACCTGGAAAGATACGATACAGTTAGATAGAGTTCAATAAACGATTGCATGTACAGTGATTGATAAGAGAAAATTTAAATAACAAATAACACGAAATAATCCATAATTTTATAAAATGAAATTATATTTAACAGGAAGAATGAAAAGATGATGAATGAATAATTTTCATACCAATAATCATGTACATACCAATATTACGTAAATATTTTTAAATTATATTTTTTATCATTCACTGTTATCTCTGTTGTATAGAATAAGATGCAAAACTTCAAAGTAAATACTATTTAAAAATTTAGTTGTCTAGAATTTATAAAAATGTATAAAAATTTTGTCGATAGTTTTTACTTTTTTGATAACACCGTGCAACAAATTTTTATTCTTTTTTTCGTGTTCTAATTTTTCCCTGTTACATTTACGTTTGTAGTTTTTCGTGCGTTGAATACAAATATAAAAACCGTTTTTCTCCATCACTCTCAGTTTTTGAGAAATTCAATTCTGAAAAAAAATACGAGTTACACAACTTTTTCCTACAAAAAATAATTCTATAGACTATTCTAAATATAATAATATTGTAAGAGTATTACATTATTTCGTAACATTATTACATTTTTATAGATATTTATCTGTTTTAAAAACTGACTAATCAAACTTAAATATGACTATGTACTTCTTTAATAAATGTTATATAGAAGCGAAAAATTATAATATGTTATAATGTTATATAGAGGCCAACCCTGTCATTCTGTAAAAATAAAAGACAAATATTTTTTAATACTTGTATACTAAAGGCTTATTACAAATATCTATATTAAAAATATAACAATGAAAGACATGTGAATCTAGAAACATGTATCAGAAATAATCGATTCTGAAAGAAAGTATTCTGAATTAAAATTTTGAGTTATGAATTGAGAATTTTAAAATTGAAAAGTTTAGGAACATAAAGTAAAGTAAAATTACGTTGCTTCAGAAAAGAAGAATATTATTCTTCTCCAGAAAGATTGGCTACGAAATAAGAAAAGTAAAAGGAATATGAGGAACAGTTCATCAGAATTTATGCTTGAGTGATTTGGTCGTACAGCTTCATGTTCAGTCATCAAAAATTTTTGACACATGAAATCCTATGGAAATTATTTTGATTAAATATATGATGATCTGGAAAAGTCGCAAATGAACATAGTTTTATTTCAATAAACATTTTACAAAACTCACGATCAAATAGAATCTTATATACATAACTGTACACATATATATATATATATAGATATATATTAAGCTAGACTTATTATTTAGATTAACTTATTATTTAAATTAATCAAATTAAATATTATACATTTAATAACATCAAGTATTATATCATAAATAAACTTATAAAATTTCACATTCATGATAGTTAATAGTAAATACAGAACAAAGAGGAAAAAGAAAGAAGTATAGAAGAAGAATATAATTGCTGCTATTTATTGATTATTGAAAATTCAAATATGAGAATGTAATTGCTGCTATTTATTGATTATTGAAGATTAAAATATTATTATTAGAATATTATAACGTTATCAGGCTGTTGCAAGTTTTGTCATTTTCAGGTAGATTCCGTCAGCAGGTTGAAGAAGGAATAATGGTCTTTTGTCGGGTTTGTATACTTTACGAGTCTTCTCGCATACCTCCACCTTATATTTCGATAAGATAGTGACCATCGCCACTTTCAACTGTACCTTGGCCAATCGTATACCTGAAAAGAAGATTATTTGATATTATACTCAAAATATTTTATATTTTATTATTGCTAGTATTAGTATTACTAATAATGTTATATCTGAAGATTATTTATTTCACAATTAGTTATGATTTTATGTAAAAGAAGAACATTATGAAAGATTCCAATTATTCCGATATTCCAATGATCGACATTAATACTAATTATATTATGTATGTATACTTCGCACATTTTATTTCTCATGATCTTATTTTCAGAATCAGAAAATTGGGAAACGTATATATGCAGATAATGTTGACCTCTTCCATAGTAAATTATCGTCATTCAAAGAAAGTGTAGCTAATGTTACAATATCTTTACAATATTGCGAATAAGTTAAATATTTGAAAAAACTATTCTTTAACAAAAATCAAATAGATAATGTTTTGATGAAGTTATACTTATTCACTGTAATATAATTAGCACTGTATCATGTCCATTCAAATTATTATCTTTGTATCTGATTGGATAATAATGATAATATTACTATTATTAACACTATTATTATTATTTTATAAAAGTTTGTCTTACCACTACAGTGTCTTGGACCGTCTCCGAAAGGTAAGTGAGACATTGGATGTCTTGTCTTGATATTCTCCTCAGAGAATCTGTCAGGATCGAACGCTTCTGGATTTGGAAAGATTTCTGGATCTCTTTGAATCGAGTAGATAGGTATGAAGACCTGCTGACCTTTTGGTATAGTAACTTTCGTTCCTGAGAATGTGTATGGTTCCATTGGCGTTCTGGAGAGCCATTGTAGTACTGGATATTTTCTTAGAGTTTCTGTAAAAACACAAACAATATATTAATGTTGACAATGAATAATCAATTGAATAATTAAACAATTTATAACCCACTATAATCAGAATTTTATTTTCTAATAAAAGAATATTGTGATGAATGAATGTAAAACTGAAATGAAATTGAAATGAAATTTAAAATATAAAATATAAATTATGTGATTTTCAGAGAACGTGATATTATAGAAAAAAATATTTCTAAACGTACGATATTAATGATAAATCATATGATAAAATATTTTAATGAAATTTGCCTAAGAATTATACCTAACATAACCGAAGCCAGATATTTCATTTCTCCTAAGCCATCATATGTAATCTTTCCATCGTATTTCTTCAAGACAGTTTGGATTTCTTCTCGAGTTTTCTCTTGAATCTCCGGGTTCCATGCAAGTTCGTACAAAGCGTTGCTGATGGTCAATGAGGAATTTTCGAAGCCAGCATTGAAGAAAAGTTGGGCCTGAGCTGCCAAGAACAAATTGTCCACCTCTATAAATGAAAATAATGTACTTTAGACATTTTTAGACATTAGACATTTTAATATCTCTCTTATTCTATTCAAATGAATTAATTATTTTAAATATTTGATGTAATAAAATTTTTTATTTATAATTAGACAACTAAAATTTATATTATTTCATTTATATTTATAATTATATTCATTTTAGTCTTTATTTTATATTCTCTGTGATAGAAAATAAATAGTAGTAATATACAATTAAATTAAAAATTCCAAAATGGTATAATCTAATTCAAAATGGCACCAATTAAGAATCAAAAACGTTTGTACTATAAGAGAAAAAAAAAAAGAGTCTTGCCTTTAAGGTTGAGTTTTTCCGGGTGTTCTCTTAAATCTGCTAAAATATCGATAACGTCCTTTAGGTTAATGTTGTTCTGAATCCTGTAATCCATCGCTTCCTTCATAGATGATTCGAAGAAATTGACAACTTCGTGATCAGTGAACAAACGACCGAAAATTTTGAATAGGAATGGATACTCCCTCAATCTATCTGTAAGGAACTGTTCAATATTCGTAGCGAGAGCTCTCTTTCCCATTTTACGAAACTGGCTGTTCTCGTCTGTTAACGCGTTCGCGTTGAGACTGAAAGCGCAAGCAGCGATCATATCAGTGGTGAATTTTGCAGCAGTGTCACGAAATTCGACTGGCTCGCCCTTCTCAGCTAATTTCTCTAGATAATTGTCGAAAGTATTGGCACAGTCTAACATCAGGCTGAACATCTCCTTTAGCTTTCCCGACGAAAAAAAGGGCGAAAGTTTGACTCTCAGCGGCCTCCATCTTTCTGCATCCAATCTGAACATTTGCTCAGACAATGGTTCGATCTGTAAAATTAGAAAAATTTCATTCGTTAATTATGTAATCGTTTAATGTTGTATGGAGAAATAGGTTTGAGAATAATTATGGGCGTAAATTTTGTGTATTTATAGAATTGATAGAGTGGTGAAAATGATCAATTTAATTGTAATTTTTCATACCAATTTTCTAGATTTATAATGGTGCATTTTTTTCGAGATTCCAATGATTACTCGTGAAATATATAAATAAAGGATTGCCTTCTTTATTGTGCTAGAAACTTTTTCCCATTTCATCTCTCTGACGCGAAACTTTTACTCTTCAATCGTTAGTAGTTCTAGTACTGATACAAACTTTCACTTACAAGTCCGGAGTATCTCTTATTTTAAAAACAAAATAAATTTTTTACAAATTTAGAGAAATAAAAGTGTTGTAATTATAAGTTTCAATTTTAAATATAATCAATTACGAATAAAATACTTAAATAGCAGATACCGAATATCATAAATAAAATATTCACTTAGGAATTGAATAGAGTATTTACTAAAGACTTAAATATTAGAAAATACTTTAGTTAATAGTTCAGTTAATATTAGAATTAAATTATCTACTAATTTATTTACATTATATCCTTTGAAATCATTTGAACATATTCCAAAGTTTCGAACATATCACAACTTATTGGCATATCGAGTACTAAATATTTCTGATATTTAATATTAAAAATTCTACGAAAATTTTAAAAATCAATTTTTGTTAATTTAACAAGAAATATAATGTACTTTCATAGAAAATGCAAAACAAACACGATAAAATTTATTGTGATAAAAGAAGATGCTCTTAAACTAGATATTGATGCTCTTAAACTAGATATTGTGTAACATCATAGTAATGTCGCAACTGATAAATATTAATATACATATACGGTTCGTCGTTGTAATAAAAGAATTTCAACTAGTGTTATACAGATAACTGTTATAAAGATATGAATTAATAGTTAATAGCCAAGAAGCTTAAGTTATTGAAAAATGAAATGGATTGATGAATATATTTTGATAGATTTAAATAATTTTATGATTGTAATTTCGCAATTTTTACATTATTCGAAATTTTAAATAATTTCATTGTTGAACTTTGACATAAATTTAGCAATCATTTAAAATGATGAATAATATTATTAAAATGCTTATAAATATTTTCTTTATTAAAAAAATAGCGCAATACATTGTACACAATTATAATAAATCGAGTTCGAACATGAATAAATGAATTAATTATAAAAAAATAAATTAGGATATTTGCTAGCCTGAACAAACAACTCTTTCGTCTTCAACATTTTAGAATTTCGTAATAAAATAATATATATCAAATTTACAATTTATAACTAATAAGGAAATCAAATTAAACAAAAAACGTGCTTCAAGAACTTCACAAACTTTACATATGAAACTCTACAAACACGATTAAAATACTATCTCTGGAAAACTTGTCCAACTACTTTTTTCTTCTGACAAATTGTACATAACACATATTTGTCAGGATGATAATGATAAAATAATTCATTTCGATAACCTATTGCACGTTTTAAGCATGAGTTTTAATCACGTATGATATTTGAGCCTAAAATTATTAAACATACACATTAATTTAAATATAATCCAAAAAAAAATTTGATAACATACTTGATAACATTAAACGAAACAGTTATGTAAATAACAACATCAAATAATGAAATTTTTATATTTAATAAAAGTTTGGAGAACTCGTAATCTTCGCAGTAAAATTGAATTTTTGACAACAGATTTGACTATCTGGCTTCCGAAACAGTAGCTTTGATAGATAATTCACCAGAGCAGAGAAAACGAAGTTTACAACAAATAATAAAAGAAAATAACAATCAAGAGCAACGCTTATTAGAAAATGTTAAAAAGAAAAGAAATTATTGCAGTGACGTTTCTAGCTACAAACTACAAAATTTGCAATCGATGAAAAAAGAACAGAAAAAATACGGCGTCACATGAAAAAGATATTGAACTTTTATATTTGTTTGTACTTTATTTTCAAAAATATATTTGAAATCTCGCGAGAAATTCTATTTTATCTCCAGTTCCAATTTAAAACAACGTGAACGCTTATCCAATCAAGCAGCGAATAAATGGCTCACACAATAATAACTGTAGGAACTATTGCGATTGAACGCGATTTTCAGTAGCAGAAGTATTACAAATCGCAATAAACCCGCATAAATATACAAAAAAAAAAATAGCTCAATCCGTGGCAACACATCTTGAAATAAAAACAGAAAATTTATATATAAATATAAAAAAGATCGCAACTTTTTTGAAAATCTCAGTAAATTATAAAATATTTAATGAACTACCTACAATGAACCTAAAATGAACTACCTAAAATGAAAAAGGACAACTTTCGTTAAAACTCAAATATATACCAAAATCGCCTAAAATCTCAATATCTCCGTAAATTGTGTGCACGAATTACAAGCTTCGTGCTGAAATGAAACGTTCTCGAATAAAACATCCAGTGTCAACATACGTACCTCTCGTACTGAGCCGTGGGTTCTTTGAGCAAACATGTTGAAATCTTTAATAAGCACGTCCTTGATCAAATCCAGATCCCTCAAAACCAACAGCGGATCGTGACCTCCGTAGACTCCGACCATCGGTTCGTCTTTGAATTCGGTATAGGCCTTTTGGAAACAGTCGGTGGTGCACTCCTTTCCCAGCAGCACATCCTTGAAGTTACCCAAAAACAGTAGAGGCTTCGGGCCATTCACGCCACGTTTCTTCCAGTAGCTTAACTTTATCTTCGAGTAATAATAAAGCAGAACGAATACGGTAGCGATCAACGCAATGGTCTCTATCATTAACAAAGACATCCTGAATTTCTCTAAGTCCGAGTTTGCCTAGTCGAAATTTCACCGAGTCGATAGGAACTTAGCACGATTCCCGAAAACGGGACACGCGAGAATGAAATTTAGTTAATCGAAACGATCTCTTCTTATCTTTTATGGCCCAGTCCGTACGAAAACGCCTACTCGACGCTGTCTCCAAGAATGCGAATCTGCTCATGTGGTTTGTCTCTTAAATACACGCGGATATCGAAGTTTATCGACACGTACGATATCCTCTGTTTGAAGACGTATTCTGAAATTCGATTACGCCGCCCAAACCGCCCCATCGAGCACCCTCCGCGTTCATCATCACGGCCATCATTATCGGCCAGACGATCTTGTTGGCTCGTCACATTTTACGCAAGTGCGCGAAGAAATCAACACACGGTCGTGACGGAAGTCGCATTGCATTCTTTAAGAAGATTCCGACACTTTCGACGCATTGCTTGAGACGCATTTTCGCCGATGGAAAACTACACATGTTTTGTTATGGAAAACTTTTGTTGCGGATGATAATTGGGATTTTTGTTGAGTCGAACTGCGTGAAAATCTTCGGACACAATACGATAAGTATAATTGGATATAATATGGAAAGTGGAATTGATACAATTTTTGTGTTAATTTTTATTGTAATTGTTGGTTGAAATTATGTTAACAAGAAGACATCGTCGAATGTAAAAATGAATTCCAAGAAAGATGATAAACTGTGAATAATTTTATAATATTAATTTAATTGATATTGTACAAACTATGTATCTATAACAATTAATAATTTATCATGGAAATATCTTTTTGAAATTCCACTGTTATTTATTTTTATTTTCCGCATTAAATTGTAGTTTTCAATTATGGAACGAAATTTTTTAATAGAATATTTTAAACGGACCTGATTTGAGATCAATTAAATTTTGTTAACAAAAGTTGCTGGACTACAAAAATACATTTTTCTGACATTTGACTTGGCAGATTGCTGTACATACAAAATGTAGAATCTTCTGGTGAATATTAGAGCAACTTGGAATGTTTAATTTCATGTTTTACGTAAAGATTAATAAAAAAACAAAGTCAGAAACTGTATCGTGCAAATTATTATTGACAATTGCATTCACTCAAAATCACCAAAAGCCATTAAATTAACTTTCAAAGCGCTTTAATTTCAATTAAGATCTAAATTTCCAAATGAACTTCTCGAGACTCTCAATGAGAAAAATTCCATCAACAAGCAGGTAGATATTGAATTCCAACAGGCAAATATTCCTGGCCACGCGAATCCTCGGTATCCTCGGCTTGGAAACATATTTCCAGGCGGGTATCAAAGCGCCTTCAGCAACAAGTGCCAGAAATTCTACGACTTTGCGGGACCACAGCCCGACCTAGGGGAACCGATTCTTAATGGACACCATTTAGATTCAGCGATACCGTGTCGAGAGAGTGAAGAAAGAAGGGAAACAGAGAGCAACGCAGAAACACCGAGCCGAAGAATATGCATCTGGGAATGACTTTAGACGCAAACTCGCGTGATAGTTTCGTAAGATGTTTGCTGGAAGCTGTCCTTTGATAGTTCGCCAACGACATATACCGAGCGCACTGAGACTCGGTATACGATGGAGATTCTGATAGGCGGGCTGTTGAATAATTTCACGTTTCTACTTCCCTGACTAGCGACGAATTTCGTACGTGTTCGAGAATATTCGTTGAACTTTCCGCGAAACATTGAGAAAGATTGTTTCAGCCGATATACGGGTTTAACGTATTAATAATATATAGCCAGCAAGTACCAAAGTTACCGTTCGCACTATGGATTTTAAACGAGTTTTGCAAACTTGATTCGATTTCGGAACACAGTTTCATGACGGCGCGACAGCGCTTTTTGCACGAATAGATAGATCATATTCACGTTTAACATTTTAGTTTAACATCTCGAAGCTTTACTTATTCGTTCCGCTTTGCTTCTATTCAATAAAGTTTTGAAAGTTAGCAGGAAACTGTATAAGAATCGTTATTGATGATTTTAGACCTTTTCCCCTTGATAAATTAATCCTGCTACGATCATTTAATTTTTGCGTTTCGATCTTAATCTCTGATTCTGTTTTAGGAAACAGAAAGTATTTAACATAAGTTTTAAGAAAGTATTTGACATAAATTTTAATTGATAAAAACCTTTTTAGATACGAAATTTTTTATTTAAACGATTGAGATATTTTTAACGATAGAAAAATAGAAGAAATGGCCAGAAACACGTAGCAGGGTTAAGTATATACAATATACTTAAGTTGATAATAGCTAATAATAGTTAAGTTAATAAAAATATTTTTATTCAAACATCCGTTTGCTTCTTAAAACGACAGTGAAATTAGAAAATAAAAATGCGAGAATCCCAACAGTTAAGCTAAAAATCTTGAAAACTCAGTGACGAGCAATTTTTTATCCATTATCTCTTTGAATTTCTAGAGAAATTTAATAGTAAAGAATTCTATATCCTTCACAAAATTTGAATTTGAACAAGAAGTAACGAATTTACGTAAATACTACACACGAGCACGAGAGAGATAAAAATTTTTAAAAAATTTGGCCATGGAATACACAATATGAATTAAAAAACTTTCGTTGCAGATGATAACTATCAGAAATGAGATCAAATATTTTGCGTCCATATCTGATTTGCACTTCGAAGCACTTCGAAAAAAAATGACATTGCTATAGATATAATTGTACTCGGATCAAATAATCGAATCTTTCACAAGTACGTTAAATTTACTATGATCAAATTTCTGTCTTTGAGCGAAACAGGAAAATCAAAATGGTCTCTTATAATAATAAAATTCCATTTTGCATTTTACGTAATAATTCATAATTCAATGATCTTGATTCTACCATAATTCGTGATAATACAATTTGAGTTTATAGTTTGTATAATAATTCATCATCTGAACGAAACAGAGGAAGCAAAAGCATGTTGATAATTCACGATTCTAATAATAATTCATGATAATTCAATTCATGTTGGCATTTTATCGAATAATTCGTGATTTTATGATCCTATTGATATTTATTATATCTCTTTAATCTTCAATAGAGATGATATCTACGTAATTCACAACTTATCTTCTTACACTTATTCAACATTGAGAGTAGCGTATATAAAATGAAAGATTAAGATTATCAATAAAATGAAGTCTGATGCAATAATAAATATTAAAAAGACGAGAAGGTAATACTACGTACAAATCCGCCATCCGGTCATCGCCTTTCATAGTTCCCTATCCAAGAGTTAACCGGTTAAAACCATATAACTGGTTAAAACCCTAACCTCTGATACCCTTGCGATAACATTTTGTTTACAATATTGGAAGTTTAACAAAATCGAATATATGTACGTTGCACATATAATATCTGTGATATGTAGTTTCTTGTTTTCCAGAATGCAATTTTTACAAGATTCTGCCGAACGTCAAAATAGTTGCTTAATAGATAGAAAGTACATATGTCATATCAATGACTGTAAGTGATTCCAGGATAAAAATTTCTAATCAAAATAAAAATCATCCAAATGTCGAAATATTTCTTTTTCCTCTTTCAAAATTATGTAAAGTTAATTTTAGAATGATGCATTTTGCTATTCTGGGGCAATTTGATCAAATTTTTGATAGAAAACTGCTTTAAGAAAAGTTAAAATTAAATAGACCATATTGAGCATAGTTGTTTTAATTATTAAATACATTGTTATCGTTAGAAATATTAAAGTTAATAAAATAATTATACAATCATATAAAATAATTTGCGTCACATTTGGATTAGATTACTCAATTTCCAAGGACTTAATTATTATTTTTCATTTCACTATATTCTATGTCATAAATGGTATCTCAGTACACCTAACTCAATATCGATCTCTAACTCCTGCAGTTATCTATGACTCAACGATATCAATTGAAGGTTTGTAATTTCCTACACGAACTTGAACTCGTTACGAATGAACCATAACTTGTATTATCTAATATCAGTGTAAGATTCATCGACCGAATACCTTACATATGTTCGTAAACAATTATATTTATTAACATTTATAAAATATTTCAAATATATCTTGTGAAAGATATAAAATTTTTCATATTGTCTACTTTTTTTATTATTGTATTTTAATAATTCTACACAACTCCAAAAATCGATCTATACTAACAACAAGACAAATATTTTTGTTTTTTAAAAAATATAAATATGTGTATATAATTTTCACTATTAAAAATTTAATGAAAAAGATAATGTCCTAAAGATTAATAGATTGAACTTTTTTCCCTATATTCTTTCTTTAATTTCTAATCAAAATAATCTATTTCAACTTCGTAACTTACACTGGATATCAGAAATATTTTATAGATACAGTTAAATTTCTTATCAATTAGATTTCGAATAGAAGAATGAAGCAATACAAACTTTCTCGCATAAATCTTCTTAGCAATGTCATTTTTTTTTATCATTGATTTATATATAATTAGAAAATATTTAAAAATTATAAAACATGACAATTTATAAGATTTATTGAACGTGGAAATTTTTAAAAGCAGTCGTCAATACATTTAGACAGATAACGAATAATTAAAGAATGGTAAAAAGAATTGATAACAATATTTGGAATTACAATTATCACGCAAATATCAAAAAAGATCAAGGGTAGTCGAAAAATCGTAAAAGGATAACGATATTCTCAAATAAAATTAATTTCTTCAGACATACAATGATTCTTATTAATTTTCGATGTTCGAAAGATTATTGTTTCATATATTCGTTTATAATAGTTTTATTGAATTAATTGTTTTTTATATATATATATTGTATAGAAATATAAATTTTATTTAATGCACATAATTTTTGCAGAAAACAAAAAATTTGAACAATGAATAAATTAACATAAAATTTATATTAATCTTATATATCTCAGGTAGATATATTGTATGTTTTATATGTATATGTATGTAAAATTAATTTTATATTCAAATTTTATCATTCTTTATTGTACCGTCCCTTGTACAATAAAATTTGTGTACTAAATCAATAAAATTTGTATTAAATATATTAAAAAACAATTGATCCAATAACATTATTATAAACAACATTCTCTTTAATAGCATGCTGTCCAAATATCAATATTTAAAAATCATCACTGTCTGTATATATATTTATT